ACTTGGCAACATCAACGCTGGCTGGGTCGGAGAACTGCCCACGTTATGAGAACCACAGAGTCAAGGACAACCTCCTACAGTTGTTGGTTTAATTATCGTTCAAGTTCCTCAATGTGTTCTGTAAGGCGCGTCAGATTATAGCTTAACAAAATTTCGGGTTCCTCTATAGCCACGCAGGCCATTTTAACAGTGAACTATAGAGCGAAGGGCAGGAAGAGAGGAACACAAGGCGGCCATTATGAGAAGTAACTAGCCCAGGTCCTTCACCCTCACCCACCCTTACTGCACTCAATATGGACCACCTGGTATGACACGCTAAAACTCGCGTGTTCATTAACTACAGTCTATCTAAACTAAAGCATCATCCAACAACTTCCAGCTAATTATCCTGCCCCTGACTACAGACAGGGTAGTTTTCGGTCCTGTCTGACTTTCTCTCCTAAACCAGAGGACAGGTTTGTGGATTTGTACCAAACTTGAAGGTTTGTTCAACATACGCCAGGGTCCAGGTAGTATTCTTTCAGTGAAAAATACGCCGAAATTGACCAGCGTTACCATGGTAACGATTCGCGAAATAACGGACAGGGTTTTTGTGGTTAAAGAAAACGATGACAAGAGACAGTCTTCAGCAGTGACTAGATTAATATATTTACAGTAATAGCATCACTTGTTCGATAATCATCCTGCCATGGTAACGGTTGGTGGGCAAGGCCTGCAGCCGTTCAGATGTTGTTTAATATCATCTATCCGAACCTGACCTACAAATTCCCTGTTAAACGTCTTGTAGAAGGGTTACATAATCTCCAAATTGAAATATGTCAATATAAATAATTATAACACTCCTGTCTTACCTAAAATACCAAGAGAATATCCTTATTTAGCATACTGTAGATCACTGGTACCTGGTAAAATAAGTATATACTTATCCATCAATGACGCCCAAATTCTGGGCCTTTTATGCAACTTTTTGTACTATCGTCCACAACATGCTGTACTGTACATGGCTGCACAATAAACTAGCTCTGAAAAAGCTGATCTACACTACACACCTTAATGTCCTACGTCACACTCCACTGTGTACACCACTAAAATTCCCACACCACATCCCTATACTGTGAGGCACCGAGAGGTGGTGGAGGGTTAGCGGGGCTGGGAGGTGGAGTAGTCTTAATAATGGCGCTACACATGGACGGCGGCCACTAAAAATGCTGTAATTGGTAGACGTATATCCTTGTGAGGCACCAGTCAGCCGTGGATTCATACGGTATGTATAGGTCCTCGTTCCCCTGTTGTATAGGGCCATGGAGTGGAGCGAGGGCCGGATAGGGGGTGGGAGGACGGTGCTTTCGTCTTAACACACACACACACACACACACACATATATATATATATATATATATATATATATATATATATATATATATATATATATATATATATATATATATATATAAGAGGTAAGGCCATCACTAAACACAGTTACAGATACGCCTCAACCTTTGGTCGTCATTGTCTTATCTTAAGTACAGTGTTAAAAGACTAAGACGTTTAGACCAATGGTTCCCAATTTTACCACAAGACGCCCTCCCCAATTTTGTTAAAATCAAATTAATCAACTTAATCAATTTTAAACCTTTTACTCGAGTTTATATTACATGCCCAATACTTGCCAACAGTGCATGACAGTAAAGTGACCGACCACTCACCCGGCTAACAAACTGATCAGTAGCGAAGATAGAGTAAACTCTTAATGATCTTATCTGTGTATCTCGTGTATTTGGGGAAGGTTGAGACATACTAAGAAAAAATAATGTTACGCGCCACCCCCACCACTCCTGTACCAACCCACCCTCTGCCACCCACCACTCCTGTACCAACCCACCCTCTGCCACCCGCCACTCCTGTACCAACCCAACCTCTGCCCCACCACCTGTACCAACCCACCCTCTGCCACCCACCACTCCTGTACCAACCCAACCTCTGCCCCCCACCACTCCTGTACCAACCCAACCTCTGCCACCCACCACTCCTGTACCAACCCAACCTCTACCACCCACCACTCCTGTACCAACCCAACCTCTGCCACCACCACTCCTGTACCAACCCAACCTATGCCCCCACCACCCTGTACCAACCCATCCTCTGCCCCCACCACTCCTGTACCAACCTCTGCTCCCCACCACTCCTGTACCAACCCAACCTCTGCTCCCCACTCCTGTACCAACCCAACCTCTGCTCTCCACCCTGTAACCCAACCTATGCCCCCCCCACTCCTGTACCAACCCAACCTCTGCTCCCCACCACTCCTGTACCAGCCCATCCTCTGCTCCCCACCACTCCTGTACCAACCCAACCATCCTCTGCTCCCCACCACTCCTGTACCAACCCAACCTCTGCTGCTCCCCCACCACTCCTGTGCCAACCCAACCCCCCCAACCTATGCCAACCCCACCCAACCCAACCTATGCCCCCCACCACTCTGTACCAACCCATATGCCCCCCCACCACTCCTGTACCAACCCAACCTCTGCTCCCCACCACCCTGTACCAACCCATCCTCTGCTCCCCCACCACTCCTGCACCAGCAACCTCTGCTCCCCACCACTCCTAACCCATACCCCACCACTCCTGTACCAACCCATGTATACCACCCTGTACCTCTGCTGTACCACCCAACCTGTTGTATCTGGGTTTGGGAATCACTTTTAAGCATTAACCTGAAAGTTAAGGAGATGACCTCAAGACCATGTCAATATCCAGCAATGAAAGGACAATAATCATACATAAAATAACATGACATTAAGGGGAGGGGAGGGGTGACACTACACGAACAAACTCGCAGGACCGACAAGTACTGTATACAGCGAGAAAGTACTGGGTGAAACAACGATGAGGTAAGCCGCTCGAACCAACAACTCGGAAAATCTAAGACATTCAGATTTTTTTATTTTTTTTTGGTGGCAGCTATGGTTCTGATGATGTAATCGCACATAATGGGAAAGTTATATAACAATATAGTCGTAACTAATGTATTATGTCGACTCAAAAACATATACCTGTACAGTGAGTTTCCCTCCTGTAAATAAGAGGTTATCAGGGTCTTGCCAAGGACCCGTTGTGTAAACTATTAATTTATCAAAAATTGCATATCATTTGCAGGATTATTTCATACACTTGAATTACGAACACAAACATCAAAATATCCACAATCCCCCGCAACAGGTACAGTCAAATGTGATTTTCTGGTAGCGAAGAGCCAAGACTCGGGTAATGGCGCCCCTGCCTGGGTAGACGACGATATCACAGGCCGCCGGTGTGTTGTGAAAGCCCCTGCCCGTTATAGTGAAGGAGCCCTGCCAGACGACCTGTATACATGTTTGGTTAGAGGTGAGGGAGGCAACACTAACACTTATCCTATGTATCAGTAAAAGATGAGAGTGGAAGGAGAGGGTGGAAGGGAAGACAAGTGGAGTGGTGGGGCTGAGGGAGAGGATGGGCGGGCGAGAGGGAAAGCCGGCTGGGCGGTGTTTGGTGGGAGGGGGGAGTGTTAGGCCAACAGTGAAAGAAACATTGTTGAGGAACACCGCGGCCAACCCTGAATACGACTGTTTGTTTGATAGCATTGCCAGGAGCACATGAGACGACCAGAACCTTGGCTGTGTGTGTCTGCAGTGTGTGGTGGGGTGTATAAGAGTGGTGGGTATGGGTGTAGTGTATGTAAGAGTGTGTGGGGTATGCAAGTGTGGTATGCACGAGTGTGGTGGGTATGCACGAGTGTGGTGGGGTATGCACGAGTGTGGTGGGGTATGCACGAGTGTGGTGGGTGTGGTGGGGTTTGCACGAGTGTGGTGGGGTATGCACGAGTGTGGTGGGGTATGCACGAGTGTGGTGGGGTATGCACGAGTGTGGTGGGGTATGCACGAGTGTGGTGGGGTATGCAAGAGTGGTGGGGATTTGCACGTGTGGTGGGGACATGCATATGTGGTGGGGGAGCACGGCGTGACGGTGATTCTGCTCGTGTGGTGAGAACATGCACTAGTGTGGTGACGAGTGTGGTGAGGATATGCACGAGACGAATGTGCACGGGAATACGAGTGTGGCGTGGGTGTTGAGAAATGAGTGTGGTGACTACAGTATGTGCACGAATGGATGTATAAGGATTGTGTGCAGCAGAGTGTGTGGGGTAGGCGGGCGTGAATGGGCTGGCGGGACCACAAACACCTACACTCTCTCCTCCTCTAACTCCGTGCACACATCTACACCTACTCCCATTACACTGTACACACGTGTACACCTACACCCACAACACCATACCCACACACATGTACACCTATACCCGTTAGATGTACACCTATCCCAGTTGCACTGTGCAAACATGCACACCTGTTCCCATTATACTGTGCACACATGGACACCTACACCCATAACACTGTACACACATCTACACCCATTACTCAGGGAGGGAGGGAGAACAACCTTCTTGGACTGGTGGATAAACTCTAACATAAAACACACGAACACTTTTCTGAACAGATAGGGAGAGTACAATAATGGTGTCTGGAACACTGAGGATCTTTCAGCAGTTGTGGAGGAATTGTTCTGGCGGGGAGCTAATCCTTTATCTTGTAGAAGATAAACACATGTAACGTGACAGTGTTGCAAGGTGGGGGGCATCACGGCGCCGGCCGGCCAGTGCCCTATACCCCCCCGGGGGCTGCAAGGTCCGTTCCTGGTGGCCGCGCCCAGCCTCAGGAGCAGAGTCTGGGCGGGTCGGCCGGCCACTGCTGCGCCTGTTGACATCACCACCATTCTCGCTCTCGGCTAAACATTGCCACTATTTGAGCACAGTCAAAACACAGACCCAAAAAATTCTTTGCTAATATGAAGCGGTAAAATATGGCAACGGTTCATGAGAGAAAATAGGTCAACTAAGGCGCGACAGCCTCCAGCCACTGTGGCAGAGGAGGCTAATAAAGAAAGCATGGATGTTTAATATTTACCTGATTAAAAGCGGTGGTTAGCGTGGCTGCGAACAGACACACTACCGGGAGAGCCACAAGTAGATGATGTATGACAGTCCTGGCGACCATCATGATGCTGATGGTCACTAAGCTTTACTCTAGTGTAAAGGTTCGCTCTCACTGAACATTCACGACTGGAGAAACACTCGGTAAGACTGTAGGAACACGACCCCAACGAATGGCGGTCGCCGGGCTACTAACTGCTGTGGCCCGTCCGTCTATGTCTGGGAGGCGCTGCTGCCCGGAGATGCCACATCTCACCAGCGCCTCACTACCAGCGCCTCACTACCAACGCCCACACACACCCACTCCACTATCCCAGTCATATACAACACCAAAAACGTCAACAGACATTCCTAAAAATAATGCCCTGTTTTCTTATTATTTCATGAGAAAGAAAAATGTTGAAATGTTGAGATAAGTAAGGGGTATCCAGTAGACATATGCACGGTCATGCCTTCCGGCAACTACCACGCGGGCGGAACCTTACAGTTCTTGCCGTTCAACCACATGCACTCCTTGTAAACATTTGGACCCACAGTAAAAAAAAATTAAATAACAATGAATGCTGGAATAACAATAATAATAAATCAGTTAATAATCACTGGCTGATGTAAAATAAATTTATAAATAAACAGCCAATCATCCAACCAGACGCTCTACAAAAAACTTGTCAACAATCGTAATTCTGTTTCTTATAATTAATTTTTTTTGTGATTTGTTATTTATTTATAAACATGAAGGTGTTGCCATTAAAATTACCTCGTACTCGAAGTCAATACAAGAGAGAGATTTAGATACAGTAGTTATGAAGATGGTTATATATTCAGTGTAACTACCATGCAAGTTTACATTGATTCTGGATACAGTATAATAGACAGTGTAGAGGAACACTTAATAAATTACTCACTGGCAACTTCTCACACTGTTGATCAACACCATCAGATATTACAGAGGTTAGAGAAATTGTTAAGGTGACAAGAACAAAACACCCTAACACACACCCTTTCACACACTCACACACCCTAACACTCACACACCCTCTCACACACCCTAACACTCCTACACCTGAACACTCCTACACCCTCTCACACACTCACACACCCTAACACTCACACACCCTCCCTCTCTCTTTCTCACACCCTAACACTCCTACACCCTCTCACACACTCACACACACCCTAACACTCACACACCCTCCCTCTCTCTCACACACCCCAACACTCCTACACCCCTCTCACACACTCCACACACCCTCCTCTCTCTCTCTCACACACACCCTAACACTCCCTACACCTCTCACACACCACACACACCCAACACCACACACCCTCTCTCTCACACACCAACACCCCACACCCCCTCTCACACACTCACACACTCACACACCTCCCTCTCTCTCTCTCACACACCCCTAACACTCCTACACCCCTCTCACACACCCACACACCCTCCCCCTCTCTCTCACACACCCCACACTCCCTACACCCTCTCACACACTCACACACCCCTAATACTCACACACCCTCCCTCTCTCTCCTCACACACCCTACACTCCTACACCCTCTCACACACTCACACACCCCTCCTCTCTCTCACACACCCCTAATACTCCTACACCCTCTCACACACTCACACACCCCAACACTCACACACCCTCCTCTCTCTCTCTCTCTCACACCCCTAACACTCCTACACCCTCTCACACACCACACACCCTAACACCCACACACCCTCTCTCTCTCTCTCACACACACCCTAACACTCCTACACCTCTCACACACTCACACACCCTAACACTCACACACCCTCCCTCTCTCTCTCACACACACCCTAACACTCCTACACCCTCTCACACACTCACACACCCCAACACTCACACACCCTCCCCTCTCTCTCTCTCTCACACACACCCCTAACACTCCCTACACCCCTCACACACCTCACACACCCCAACACCTCACACACCCTCCCTCTCTCTCTCTCTCACACACCCTAACACTCCTACACCCTCTCACACCTACTCACACACCCTCCCTCTCTCTCTCTCTCACACACCCTAACACCCTACACCCCTCTCACACACCTCACACACCCCTCTCTCTCTTTCACACACCCTAACACTCCTACACCCCTCTCACACACCACACACACTCCACACACACCCCAACACTCACACACCCTCCCCCTCTCTCTCTCCACACACACCCTAACACTCCTACACCCTCTCACACACACCCCTAACACTCCTACACCTAACACCCTACACCTTAACACCCTACACCCTCACACACCTCACACACCCCCACCACACACCCCTCTCACACACCCTAACACTCCTACACCTTAACACCCTATACCCTCTCACACACCTCACACACCCTAACACCACACACCCTCCTCACACACCTTAACACTCCTACACACCCTCTTCACCACACACCCTAACACCACACACCTCTCACACACCTCAACACCCACACCCCCCTCTCACTCACACACCCCTAACACTCACACACCCTCACACACCCCAACACCCCTACACACCCTCTCTCACCTCACACACCCCAACACTCACACACCCTCTCTCACACACCTTACACCCTACACACCCCTCTCACCACACACCCCTAACACTCACACACCTCTCACACACCCACCCCAACCCCTCTCCCACCTCACACACCCCCATCACACACCCCAACACTCCTCACACCCCTCTCTACACACCCCAACACCCACACCCTAACACCTCACACCCCTCTCACCACACACCCTAACACTCCACACACCTTCCTCACACACCCTAACACCCTACACACCCTCACCACACACCCTAACACTCACACACCTTCTCTCCACACACCTTAACACTCCTACATCCCTCCTCACCACACACCCTAACACTCACACACCCTCTCACACACCCTCTTACACTCCTACACCCCCTCCTCACCACACACCCTAACACTCACACACCTTCTCTCACACACCCCAACACTCCTACACCTCTCCTCACCACACACCCTAACACTCCACACACCTTCTCTCACACACCTAACACTCCTCACTCTCCCTCACACCCCACACACCCTACACCACACACCCTCTCACACACCCTAACACTCCTACACACCCCTCTCCTCACCACCACACACCCTAACACTCACACCCTAACACTCCACACACCTCCTCTCACCACCACCCCAACACTCCCACAACCCCTCTCTCACCTCACACACCCTAACACTCCACACACACCTTCTCTCACACCCTAACACTCCTACACCCTCACTCACACCCTAACACTCACACACCTTCTCACACACCCCAACACCCACACCCTCTCTCACTCACACACCCTCTCTCACACACCTAACACTCCTACACCCCATCTCTCACTACACACCCTCTCTCTCCACACACCTTACACCTCACCCTCTATCACACACACACCCTAACACTCCTACACCTCTCACACACACCCCTGAACACACACACACACACACACCTTAACACTCCTACATCCTTTCACACACCCTTCTAACTCACACACACCCCAGCACACACACACACCCTAACACTCCACACCCCCTCAACTCACACACACCTTAACACCCCTACACCCTTTCACACACCCCACCTCACACACACCCCAACACTCCACACACCCCAACACTACACCCTTTCTCACACACCATAACTCCTACACCCCCCTCTCTAACTCCACACACACCCCTAACACTCACACACACCCAACACTCACACATCCCCCACCCCATACCCTCAACACTCCTCACACCCTCTCTCTTCCCCACACCCTAACACTCCTACACCCTCATCCACTTACACTTTCCATCACCACCACTACCACTAATTTTCCACTTATACACCGTAGCTGACACCCTCGGCTGACACCATACAGCTGAGTCACACTTGATCGTTGTTCACCTTAACCTCCAGCCTTGACATCGAGTAATTGCTAACTGACTTACACCTGAGCTCGCTTGACTTACCCTCACACTGACTTAGCCTGACTGATCCTCCCTGGAAATTTAGTCTGGTTGATGGATGGAAGCAAGATGGCCTTAGCTTCGATGGCTGAAAAACACTTGCTGGAAGAAGTGTGGGTCATGTGTGTGTGTGTGTGTGTGTGTGTGTGTGTGTGTGTGTGTGTGTGTGTGCGTGTGTGTGTGGCCCTTCATAATGACTTGATAATTCCTGGATACGTCACAGTCGACCTTGTTCACTCTGATAAACGACCATGAGCCTTAATCTGCTAACTGACAGGTGTGACTGAATATATATACCATAATACAAAAAATACAACGGGGAATAAATAAAAAAAATAATAGTGTGAGGACTATTGGTGGTGATGATGATGATGGTGGTGGATGATGATGATGATGATGATGATGATGATGATTGATGAGATGATGATGATGATGATGATGATGATTGATGATGATGATGATGATGATGATGATGATGATGATGATGATGATTGATGATGATGATGATGATGATGATGATGATGATGGCAGTGTCGAGAAAGAGAAAAAATCGTCAAAAAAAAATCAGAGGACAACGCAAGGATTTCAATGTATATATTATTATTATTTTTTAATGATGACCAAAAGAGACGAATATAGGACATAAAATACATATATCAGTCATCGTGCCTGTATGTTAAGTCATCGTCTTCGTATATGTTAAAAAAACAACTTGTATTTAGTGAACTATTTCCTGTTGATGATAATGTTCGGCTCGTATGATACCCACCGACTTAACCTAACCTAACCTAACCTAACCCCGAGGGACCTGTAATCTTTAACACAATCGACTTATGGGTCAAAATCTCACGCCACCCCTCTTCCAATCTGGCCTACATCCCTCAGCCACCAATAGTGAAACTCCTCACGCTTCCAATCTTGTCTTCTCCCACGCTTCCAATCTTGTTTTCCCGTCCTCACAATTCCAATCTTGTCTTTCCCTGCTCACGCTTCCACCCGCCTCCTCCACCCGCTTCCAATCTTGTCTCTCCCTTCCTCATGCTTCCAATCTTGCCCTCCCCCTCACGCTTCCAATCTTGCCCCCACCTCCCCCACCACCGACAAAGATTCGCCAAGCCTTGATGTTCCGCCGCCGCTGTTGGACATTCTTAATACTACCATTGTGTGTATATGACCGAGCCATTGTCAGCTGCAG